TGTTAAATATTGATCAATACATCAATTGTAGAGTGATATAGAAATACCACTGTTAAAATAGTGCTCAATACATCAATTGTAGAGTGATATAGAAATACCACTGTTAAAATAGTGCTCAATACATCAATTGTAGAGAGATATAGAAATACCACTGTTAAAATAGTACTCAATACATCAATTGTAGAGTGATATAGAAATACCACTGTTAAAGTAGTGCTCAATACTTCAATTGTAGAGTGATATAGAAATACCACTGTTAAAATAGTGCTCAATACATCAATTGTAGAGTGATATAAAAATACCACTGTTAAAATAGTACTCAATACATCAATTGTAGAGTGATATAAAAATACCACTGTTAAAATAGTACTCAATACATCAATTGTAGAGTGATATAGAAATACCACTGTTAAAATAGTACTCAATACATCAATTGTAAAGTAATATAGAAATACCACTGCTAAAATAGTACTCAATACATCAATTGTAGAGTGATATAGAAATACCACTGTTAAAATAGTACTCAATACATCAATTGTAGAGTGATATAGAAATACCACTGTTAAATATTGATCAATACATCAATTGTAGAGTGATATAGAAATACCACTGTTAAAATAGTACTCAATACATCAATTGTAGAGAGATATAGAAATACCACTGTTAAATATTGATCAACTACATCAATTGTAGAGTGATATAGAAATACCACTGTTAAAATAGTGCTCAATACGGTACATCAATTGTAGAGAGATATAGAAATACCACTGTTAAATATTGATCAATAGATCAATTGTAGAGATATATAGAAATACCACTGTTAAATATTGATCAATATATCAATTGTAAAGCGATATAGAAATACCACTGTTCGAATATTAATATATTTAATATAGTTAATTTATAAATTTGTTTTGCAATAAATTACCTTCCTTGAAGTTTGACAATAGAATTGTTTTGCAATAAATTACCTCCCGTGATATTTAACAACAGAATTGTTTTACAATAAATTACCCTTGAAGTTTGACAATAGAATTGTTTTTACAATGAATTACCTCCCTTGAAGTTTTACCATAGAATTGTTTTGCAATAAATTACCTCCCTTGAAGTTTAACAATAGCATTGTTTACATTAAATTAGCTCCCTTGATGTTTAACAATAGCATTGTTTACAATAAATTACCATCCTTGAAGTTTTACAACAGAATTGTTTTACAATCAATTACCTCCCTTGAACTTTTACACTAAGACTAAAACAATTACCTCCCTTGAAAGTGTTAAATATATTATTTTATACTTATGGTCCAAAAAGTTGATCTTCCAATCGTTAGAGCTCAATTTTAGCTATCTGAAGTTGTTATATATCATCTTCGATCTTTTGGATAATGTGTCTTAACAACCACACAATGCACCTGAATAAACTCTTTTTACAATTTACTACTTAATCGAAGACACAAGTTCTTGAATTTACATGTTTGTGATCACATACAGAAACGAATGCAGCATTTAAGAAATGTTTCTTTTTGTTATAGATATTCGACAGAGCGCCATTGTTGGGTTGATTGCTAATAACGACATACTATTTTGATTTATTTCCAAGCCATTTGATATTTTTTTTGAAAGTTTCATTTTGAAACATTTTGCATTCCATTCCCTAATTAATTTCATCCCGCAGAAAATGATAACATTTATTCCAAGATGGCGTCTTTAGAAGGAAGTCAGAAAAAGATGCACGAATTTAGTCGTAAAACTATAGACGATGTGTTCAGAATTGTCGGGAAGCAAATCACAATCAGGAATATGGCTCTTCTCAGCATGACCTACAAAGGAAGCCTTAGTGATGATCTCATTCCAAAGGTTAAAGACGGACATACTTTGCTCCTCGCACTTGGAAAAATGGGTCGCATCGATGAAACAAATTTTCAACATATAATCAGTTTATTCCGAATTTTAACCAGGCATGATCTAATTCATATGATGACGATGCGAGAAAGAAAACCAGGTAATTTACAGATATTGAGAAATTCGTATGGACATGGTTCAAGGAACGAGATGAGATCAAGATTGAAGCCAAGCTATGCAAATCAAATGAAGCCGAAAGGGTGTTTCATTCTTACAATCATGACAATCCTTTTTGGATCTTTTAGTCTTAATTCCTGTAACTTTAGGAGGTGGAGATCATGAACATGATAGAAAACTATAAGCTTATACATTCTTTCAAAGACTGATCCTAACAAAAACCCTGAAAAGAGAAATGTCCTTCCCTTCGTAGAACTTAAATCTAAACATGAAAAGAATACAGCAGTATTAACAGACTTTTAAGGGGGGCCATTTTGACCAATGATTCTGTTTGAAATCAGAGCGTTATTGGGCTGTTTTGACTAATTTTGATTTTTGGGGCCATTTCGGTTAACTACCTACAGGACTTTCCATGGTTTCTGATATTTCAGTTGTAGAACAAGATCCAGTTGAAGCTTACTTAGAAGCAGATTGTAAAAGCACAGGACCTAGTACTAGCAGGCAAGCTGAAGATTCCTGCAACAACCAAAGTTTAAACCTCAACAATGGAAGCTCAACACGGAAAAGAAAGTCACAGATGAATTCCAAGAAAAATTTCAAAAAAGTAAAAACTGAAACGTTGCAAGAAGAAAAAATAGAAGACAATATTTTTAAGAAGAGAGAGTCTTGTGGTATAAATTTTTGTGATTTTTTATTTAAAAAGGGAGTGAGAGCAACCACTAGGCTGATTAGTAAAAGCAATGCACACACATGCACCCGGAAGATATTCTCTCTGTATCTGAATATATTTTATGATAATTAAGATAGAACCTGTCTTCAAGGAATAAGGTGTTTGCTAATCTCAAGCTGTCTTTAAGGCAAAAATAAATTCAGATCATTGCTTCTCTTGACTTAAACTTCTGAGAAAAAGCAGAGTTTTGAGGAATTTAATTGTCACAAGAGTTTGTTTAGTGTGTCAGTGTTGCTCAATGGAAATGAGATAACAACCTCTGCTTGTACCAAAATTAATTTTATTTATGTGAGCTATTATCTTCTAGAAGGGTTTGTGAATTTTTGTGGCAACATGTCATTCTTACTGTTGTGTATTTTCTCTAAATCTAAACCTTTTTTTTTTTAGATATTCGACTACGAGTCAAAGCTGAATACAGTCAACATTCGAACGCTTTAGATGGGAACATTTTCTCTGATAAACCTGACCTACTCGAAAGACAATTTGAAAAATTTGCTCAAGCCAATACTATATTAAAATCCAGAGATCTTGGGTCCATTGTGTGTGACATTAAATTTTGTGAATTGACTTATCTTGATGCGTTTTGGAGAGACTATATAAATGGATCCTTGTTGGAGGCTTTAAAAGGTGTTTTCATCACAGGTAAGCTTGGTTTCTGTCAACCTTCAAGGGAATGTGCTTAAATTAAAGAAAATACATTTGTACAGCTTGTGCATTAACATATTCCGGCTTTATATAATGATGGCTGCAAAAATTGTGAAAAAATGCATTAAGAATATGATCAAAGCTGTGGGTCTAGAATTTTGTTCAAAATTAAGCAATATTATGTTACACGTCATCAGAAGAATTAAACTCTTGATTTGGATCACTTGATGGATATCAAAGACTCCTTCTGCCCTTATATTGAGATTTTGAACAGGTTTTCTAAACTTATGTGCATCATTCTAATTTTAAGTCAGTCTTTGGCTCTTAAAATTCCACTAAAAGTAAGCATTTTAAGACATTACTAGCGCAATATCTGCTTTTGATCCTTTGGGATAGTATCGTCATAAAATACTTACAGAATACAGTGAAATTTCAAGAGCCATTCTAATGTCTGATTGAAAATCAGAATGGTGTAAATTGATTCTATGAGTGTCCCCTATACATGTTCACTTAAAATGTTTAGAAGTCCTCTTTACAATCACTTTAATGAAGCAAGACATAACCTCATCAGCACTTCAATTATTGACTTTTTATTTTTCAGATTCTTTAAAACAAGCGGTTGGCCATGAATCAATTCGATTACTGGTTAGTGTTGATGAAGATGACTATGAGGCTGGACGGTTGAAGCTATTGTCCAATTTAAAATCATAGTCTTGTTTCTACAGGTCTCTTTATAGTGCTATATATATTTTGTATTATTTGCCCTCAAAATTACAAGGTTCAAGAGATTGTTTTGTTTTACTGATGATGTCTAATTGAAAATTAAAATGGTGCAAATTAATGAGTGAATAAAATCCAATTGTCGTTAGTTAACAGAGTTACCAAAAACAAGCATGTCTTATTCAGGATTCGTCAAAGAGCTTTAAATCTTGGTTTATTCAGCTGCCTTTTTCATAAAGCAAAGTCAATATAGACCAAGTTACTTGAGATCTCACTCCTGTTGTTTGATTTTGATGCATTACTGGCTGAACCAGTAGTAGAACATTATATTTCTTATAGTGCTAAATAGTTGTTAAATTATGTTTTTGTAATTAGGCAAGAATTCGGGTGAAATTCTCATAAGATTTGTTTTTGTAAATATTGATTGCAGGGCCTTTATTTAGGTCTTAAAATTGAGTGACTTTTTGTTAAGCGAGGAACTATATTTTCTTTTAAAGAAAAATTTTCTGTCAGACATTTTAGCAGATGTTCCGTGATTGTTGAAAAATAGAAAAATCTGCTTGATTTGTTTAAAAGAAATTCCTAAAACCAACTGTGTGCTCGGGTTTAGCTACTCTCCTATTTTTGTAAAATGAGGTCCTGTCCTGTTTGTTATTTTGTTGTTTAATTGTATATATTTATTATTAAGATATCTCTCTTTAATAAACCCAGTTAATTTACACATGAAGACATTACTATATGATCACTAAAAATATCATCTTCACATTGTCAAGCTTTTAGTAAGTAACGTAGTTTGTAATAGTTTGACACTATGACAATGTTAAAATATGTAATCCAGCAATGTTTTAGAACTTAAATATAAACAGTATTAAGTCTATTTCAACCTTTCCTACCATTATGTAGCTTCAACTATTTATATCCAGAAAAGAAATAGATTTTAGTACACATAAATTACAAAAAAAATAATACTTCAAGCCTCTCAGTTGACTTTTAAATAATGTGAACCATTGATGGCCTGAGACAAAACTATGTATGGTTCTTATATGGAAATAACACACACTTACGTAGTTCACAGCCATCTTGAATCTCTATATCAAATTTTTGATAAAGGTTAAAATATTTTAACAAAGCCTTCAAATCATACTTTAAGGTTTAGAAATGACTTTAAATGTGATTTGAAGGTTTTGTTGATATATTCTAGCCTTTATCAAAATTCGGCTTATTAAGTCGTAAAAGAGGTTCAAAATAGTTTGTTCGTGTGTGTTATATCCATGTAAAAACTGCACATAGTTTTGTATGGAGTGGCTTCTGTGCTACCATAGATTCCATATTAAAGAAACTTCTTCACTTCAGCTATATATTTAAATATATTTTGCACAGATTATGTTTTTTTACATGAATAAATTGTATAGATGAAGTTAATTTATTATTTAAGTTTTGACCAAATAGGGCATATTTGTTCATTATTTTGTTTTGTTTTGTGCTACCTGAGTTATATTTAGATCTAGTTGGTTCCTTTTGTCATTTGTTCAAAGTTCAACCAATCTAATTCAAATAAGAATACAATTTCGTATCATTTTTGTTTTTTGATATTTTTAGTCTCAATCGTAACCAAAGAAGTTTTCTACCACAGGTCTGTTTGAAGGTAGTATATTAACAAATCAAAGTGTGTCATAGAATAGAACCTGTTAAATAGAATAATGAATTGTGGGATATCAAACCTAAAATAGAGCAATATGACAGCCTATTTGGGTTTTGCTATCTCACAATTCCTTATTTTATCAAGAAACAGGTTTTACATGATACGATTTGATTGGTTAAATATACTACCTTCGGGACAGGAATTTGCTAGAAAACTATTTGGATTTACAATGTAGACTTAAATTATCAGAAACCAAAAAAGATAAGAATTTGTATTTTAATTCTAATTAGATAGATGCAACCTGGACATGATTTTTCAAGAACTTTTTAAGAATCAGAATGACTGGAGCTATATTTAGGTCTATGTTTTAGTCTGATTGTTTTTTGTGTAAACTGTTTTGATTTTGATTGCATTAGGGTACTCTTCTTCTTTTTTACCTCAGAAATTCCTTAAAAAGCAGCCTTTATTTCTATTATGTAACTATGGTTATAAAATGAGATCCATACTATTGTCTTGAAACCTTCCAGGGTTCCTTAAAACTTTTTAATTTTATCTTCACAGAATTCCTTTTCTTTATTTATAAATAAAACCAATGCTACCGGAATGTCCTTTGTATTGCTAGAATAACACTTGTATCCACAACGTGTCAGGGTTTATCAGAAATATTTGCATTATTTTAAGTAAATTTGGCTTGATAAGTGAAGGTGCACAAAATACATAGTGTTCAATTTTCTTTGAATAAAAACATGAAGAAATTTTGAGGTTCCAGTGCACATACATGAGTTGATATATTTGATATTTTTAGCAAAGAATTGTCACAACACAAGGTTGATAAAAATGATTGGTTTGTACTCTCATTATTTTATACAAATGCATCATTAAAATGCACAGTTAATTAATCCAATTCATCGTTGCAATATATTGTTAAATTGCCTTTTCTCCGTATACAACGAAATTTAAACTTGATGTCTAGATAGAATTGTAATTCGCTATTTTTCTCCAATTTAAAACTTCTTCTTAGATGTTATACTCCTTTTCATTGCATTTGGAGAATCTATTGCTATGATTATTATTCAGCTCTACAAATTTAAAATTAAGCCCCTCCCACTTATTTGTCTGACAACTTAAACCCTCCTTTCCCTCTTTTATGGACCCCTTTGTCTTATGTTTTACATGATGATCTAGGTTTATGTTTTGCTGTTTGGTTTGTCTCCTTATCCATGATTGTAAATATTCTGGAAATGAACCATGTAAAGCGTTATATAAATTAGAATTAAAACTAATTTTGATAAAATGTGACTTTCATTTTACAATTTTTAATGTTTTATAATGTTACAAAGTGCACTATTACAATCATTTTTATTTGCAGCTATGAAAGATTTACCATTTTAGTATTCATGGTATGGAAGTCATTAAAATTAGCCTTCATGATATAGAAGTCATATTAGCCTTCATGATGTGGAAGTCATTTTAGCCTTCATGATGTAGAAGTAATTTTAGCCTTGATGATGTGGGAGTTATTAGTCTTGATGATGTGGGAGTTATTACAGCCTTGATGATGTGGGAGTCATTTTAGCATTCATGATGTGGAAGTCATTTTAGCCTTCATGATGTGGAAGTCATTTTAGCATTCATGATGTAGAAGTCATTTTAGCATTCATGATGTAGAAGTCATTTTAGCATTCATGATGTGGAAGTCATTTTAGCCTTCATGATGTGGGAGTCATATTAGCCTTCATGATGTGGGAGTCATTTTAGCCTTCATGATGTAGAAGTCATATTAGCCTTCATGATGTAGAAGTCATATTAGCCTTCATGATGTGGGAGTCATATTAGCCTTCATGATGTAGAAGTCATTTTAGCCTTCATGATGTAGAAGTCATTTTAGCCTTCATGATGTAGAAGTCATATTAGCCTTCATGATGTGGAAGTCATATTAGCCTTCATGACGTGGAAGTCATTGTAGACATGTAACTCACTAAAACACATTTTTGTTAACTTTATTGATAGAATAACACATGTATTAATAACAATTATTTGCATGAAGGACAATTTACATCCAAAAAATAAAATGCATACATTGAATTAATATTATTTACAAAATTTACATCACATGATAAATTATTTCTTTATATAATTATATATTTATTTTGTAATTTTTGCCATGTTTTTTTTTATTTTTTAGGAAATAATTTTAAATATTTGTTTTTTTGTTTTAAACTTTCTTTTAATCTTTTATTTTCTGTTTTATTTTTTTTATATTTTATTTATTATTTTTGGTTGCGAGAGATTAAATACAAGGAGAGACAGGACGTTGAGGTAACAATATAAAATACATAGTAATAATTTGGCATAATTTAAATAGCTAATAACAAGAGTAGCAAGGTATTTTCATAATGTGGTTTTGACTTAACTTACAAACTAACATAACCCTTACACATCTTGCTGGAGGGGGAGATCCGGGACAAACAAATAACTCTGAAAGGTGGTCCTGCACTCTCCACCTTAATCAGCGAAACAAACGAGAGTTTCCAAATGAGCATAGTATTATCTCATTTTTTTTGGGAAAACAGAATCAATGACGTCTGAAACAGTTTTGAAAAACCGAATCAATGATAACTGAAACCGTTTTAATGATAATTTAAACCGTTTTGAAAAACGAGGTCAATGAAGACTCAGTAATAACATTGTTATACCAAAGTAACATCATACTATTAGTAAGATTATTGCCCTATTTGGAATTAACACCTTTGCATTGACTTTGGTAATAATCACAATCCTTTGCGAGCTCTCCAATGGCCATCTCCACCACGCCCCATATAACTTGGCCATTCTTGTTCTTTAAATGGTAAAATACGGCTACATCTTTTATTCTCCTTCTTCAGCTTCTCCATATCACCACAGCTACATTTTATTCTTAGTCTGTAATAAAAGACCCGGGCAATAATATTACATAGAAGACATGAATTTCTTTTATAGAGAAAGTTTGTCTGTTAATGGTTATTTGTGGTACCCATTAGGAATACGTTTTTTCTGCAACACTTGAAGTATTCATTGTGCAGTGTCTAATTTTATCGATGTATTCAAATTGACGAGATATATCGAGTGGTGTTATCGTTTTTTTCTGGGCCACTCGATGTATAAATCAACTTAAACATTATGATGCCTTGTGTACAGGAGGTCCGATGCTAAGGCTCTCTTTCCGTGCTGGTTAAGAAATGTTTCAAATAATATAAACACGTATCTGCAATTAAGTTCTGATGGAATTTCTTAAAAGATAAAAACTCAAAAGTAATTAAAGGATTTATCTAGTCCCGATTCAAAATTTAGACCTTTATAATGCAGCCTTACCTGTAAACAGTCATTTGTCCCATGTGTACATTATATGGATTGTAAGAAGTCTGACTTTCATATGTTCTTCTATCATCATTGAGCTGATCATTTCCGGATTTCTTCAAACATTCCTTAACTATAGCATGTTCATAGGCATCATGATCCATCCCATAATATTTACCTACAAGATACGAAAATGAAAGCTAAAACCTAAAAGGCGCGGATTGCTGTAGAGATACATGGACGGGTGCCCACCACTTATGTCAATGGTGGAACCACGTTTGTGGCTCATATGGTTATCAAAATAATCGACAATCCAATTTCCAATTTCCCCCGCCGTCGGGGATCACGAGCAGACAGCTTTGCCCGCAGCCCCGTGGACTCTTTATGGGAAAACGGTCTGCTTCTATGACTATAAACAGCTGGACTCCACCACCTTTATCAATGGAACTGCGCCCCTTATCCACGGTCCTTTACGATGTTGCCATCAGTGGCGGAGCCAAAGGAGCATGTTTTTCGGGAAAAAATTTCATAACTAGGTTAGTAAATTCGGGCAACCTCAGGTATTCCGCCCCCCTCGTACGTAAACCTGGCTCCACTGATTGCTATCACACTCTTCATTTCCTCGGAAACCTCACTATGCCATTTCATAGACAGAAATTGAAATTTAATTTTATAAAGTTTGGAATGGGTAACCACATTCAATGTCCATTGTCATCACGGTTCATCATATACATGTAATACTTTTCTAAACGATAAAAATCTATTTCGACCCTGTTCTGGCCCTATACCCGTTCCTCGGACGTGATATGCGGCTCTGATTTGACCATCATGGATCGGAGCAAAAAATGTGACCTTTTGAGTTTGACCTTAACAGTGTCGATATCACATCCGGTCAGATTTGGCGGGCTAATTGACGCCCTAATTGATGTAATAGTTTCTGAAACTGGTGATCCTTTTCAATTTTGTTTTGATATCACTATTCACATTTCTCTTCAAAACATTTCCCGCCTGATAACAACTACATTCAAACATTTGAAACGTGATATCAGACGTTCTGGAATTTCACAGCTTGATATGATAGAGGGGTAGGTATTGGAAAATATATACTTACTGTTTGGTTGCATTCGAATTGCTTCTTTAGCCATCAAATCTGAGATACACTTTTGGTCTGATGCAAGAATAGCCTGAGTTTGTGCAGGAAAAAACCAATACGTTGCAAAAACGATTTCAGCTGTGTGATTGTAATCAGGATGATCTACCGGAAGTGTGGTTGGAGCAACAGTTCCGGTTGAAATAAGTCTCTGAATTCCTTCGCCATCATGTGGACCAACATGGCGTTTTATTCGACCAGAATCATTCTTAACATTTTCCAAAATATAACGAATGTTTTTTTCAAAATCAGTGTCAATGGAATCTGCTCCTGCTGATCGCTTTGCCATTGCCAAGGGATGGGTTTTGGATTGAGATCGTTTGCTTTGGTATCTTGGGTCATATGGTTCATAATATCGACCGCCTTGTCTATTCTCACGTTGATATTCGGGATCTTCCTCGCCATTGCTATAGTAACTAGAAAATGGCGACTGTTTATCGTAAGGGTATCCAGGAACATCTCCCCTGTACCGTCCTTGGTTACGCCCACGACTTATCGGCCTTTGCTTCATTTTCTGTCTGTTGCGTTGCCTTTGGCGAGGCCGTGGTCTTGGTCTGAAACCTCCTTTCTTTCCCGAGCTTGACGTAACAGGATTCTGGTTTGGATTGATGAAATCCTGCCCTGAAACATTGTTGTCTTCATCTTCATCTCCATTTCCCTTAAAATATACAGAATTGATGTCTTAATATTGATGAAATTAACCATACGTTGTACCGTTTGTGTTTTTACAGTAAGGATTCAATTCTGATTAACAATGCAGATCAAGATGATTTGTTTGGTATTTTGCTGTTAGTGACTGTAACGAACTGTAAAAGCACAAAAAGGAAACATCGTGATCTGTATCATTCGGCAATTCTCGGCAGTTTCCGTAAGCTAGAGTAACTTCCATGGAGGACGTTTGGATCTATATGAATCAGACAAAAACACCAATCAAATGACAACTGCAAAAGCAAAATATAAATCGCAAACTTTCGATTCCCTGTAGCTTGTGCTGTCTCTAGCAATGACTAACACCCCGATGATAGATGTTATATTTGAATGTCCAGGAATGATGTCAAACCAGAAAATCTTACCATCGTGTTCTCGACGTTTTCCACTTCCATTTTACGGGCTCTATTGGCATAATAATCATAATCCTTGATGTGTTCCGGATGATTCTGGACAAATTCTATAGCCTCTTGGGTTGTGTTGATCCATTTAGAGTGTTCTACCTTGAGTCTATCCTCTGTAATAATCAAATAACAGAGATGTTGGCGAGGCTGATGTTAAGTTGGTACGGGTCGAGTTGTTGTTCCAATCAATAGAATACATAGAGGAAATCAAACTTCGATTACAATTTCGTTTTTTTCTTTTTCCCTGACATAGTTAATCTCTATTGTAATCTAAGAAGTTTTCCACAAAATGTCTGTAGCCTTTTTAACCAATCAAGGCGTGTTTCTTGATTTGAGGAATTGTGAGATACTGAAATCCAAAAAGTCTGCTGTATTGCTCTACTTTAAGTTTCGATACCAATGACGTTTTTAGACGGGGGCCACCCTCAGGGCAGAAAAAATGAAATATTTATTATTTTTTCACTGCCCAAATCGAGTTAGCTGCATTCTCCACCGTCCTAATTGGGGAGGTATCTGAAAACGAATAGCAAAGGAAAAAAGATCTGACCTGAATAGTAAATTCTAACACCTCGAGATTTAATATGGCGGCTTTTCGCCAGTAATTCTGTGAAACCTTTCGTTTTAAATCTTAAGCGACAATTATCAGAGCGACTTTTTTCGTGGACGTTTGTACCTAGATAAAAAGCAAAATAAAGAAATTAATGGTTAACTGCCACACAGAATGAAAATTACATTTAAATTCTCAAACTTCGCCATTAGCCTGCCAATAGGACTATATAGTCATCAATGGATATGCCTGGTGTCATAACTAAACAACAGAATCCCCGTTTATTCCGACACACCCATAGAACGTACCAATTATTGACAAACGCGTTATATTTTAAGCGTTTTTTGTTAAATACTTTAATGTGTAATTACTTAGTTTTGTAGATTAACAGATATTAAAGGAATTTTGTAGTATACATCTACTTATGACACTAGGTACGTCCATCAGTGGCGGAGCAAGGTTTACGTCCGAGGGGGGCGAAATATTTGTGATTGCCCGAATTTCTAACCTAATTATGAGATTTTTGGCTCCGCCACTGACGTCCAATAACGAATATATACATTCATTTGCCAAGTTTGATCAATTTATTTTCATTCTAAAAGGTAGTATCCCAGACAGGCAGCTTGTCATGCCTTTGACGAAATGATATCTATACCAGACAGGCAGCGTTTCCTACCTTTGACGAAACCATATCTATATACCAGACAGGCAGCGTTTCTTACCTTTGACGAAACCATATCTATATACCAGACAGGCAGCGTTTCTTACCTTTGACGAAACCATATCTATATACCAGACAGGCAGCATATCCTAACTTTAACAAAAGCGGCGTGTCTTACCTTTGATCAAACTATATCTCTACCAGACAAGTAGCGCATGTTATGTTTGACAAAACTATATCTATACCAGATAAGCAGCATGTCTTACCCTTGACAAATCTCTATCTATACTAGACGGACAGCGTAACTTACTTTTGACAAATCTCTATCTATACCAGACAGACAGCGTATCTTAACTTTAACAAAACTATATCTATACCAGACATACAGCGTAACTTACTTTTGACGAAACTATATCTATACCAGACAGGCAGCGTGTCTTACCTTTGACGAAACCATATTGCCCTCCCTGTCCAACATGTCCTAGGCAATCAGCCACCCAGAATAGAAAGATATCATTCCCTCGACCCTCGACGCTGATAGTTAAAGGTGATGATTGGGCTCCGATAGAATCTTTAACACTAGGGGATATTAACGGCTGGCCTGTTTTACCATCTAGTACTGTAGTCTAAAAAAATAAATGGATTTGAGAACTTCTTTATGCCGTATTGCCATTATTGAATATGAAGAAGGAAATGGGATTTACAACCATTGCATTGCATTGCGTTATTGACATAGAAAAGGAATTTAACAGACCTATGGCTTCAGACAACAAATTAGAAATGAAATGAAATGAATGAGTTTTACGTCCTTCTTTTCTGCACCATGTGGGCTAATGAAGACGGGCACAACATGCAGGGTGCAATGAGGGAAATTTTGCCAGGACAGCGGCATTAGCCGGCTCTTTTCAGATTTCCAACTGTCGAGGGATCTTTAACGTGCACAGCCTGTAGCACACGGGGCCTCGGTTTATAGACAACAGATTAGAGTCTCCTCTATCCCTTTTTGGAACGAACATTTTATGGTATGAATTATAAATCACTTTTATACTATAAACCATAGAATGGGATTACATGGATTTTACGCAGGTCCGTAGCTACATAGGACAAGGGTACATGGATTGCCCCCCCTGAAAAATTCTGACAACCGACCAATTCCATTACTGCAACTAAACACCATATACAATTGCCCTGCGAACAATTAAGTCTGGTTAAGGTCATGATTTTACGAATGGTTATATAGATGTTGTATTATAAGATATCTATGAATGGTATAATATATATATCATATACTAACTTCAGAGGAATAGTAAATAGGAAATCCTGGACCATTCTGATATTTGATGAGAAAATCAGGAACCTCGTCATCATTATAATATCCTGCAGCTGGTGTACTGAAAAAAAAAAAAATCACACAAACTATTACATTGATTTAATGATACCACATCAACAGTGACGTATTTTGGCAGCAATTTTTGGGCCATGTCAATCCCCGAGCCCCCAGACCCTCGGCCAAAAAGATAAGTATCACTAATCGCAAAATATGCTTGTATTACATAAGGAATTTGTGATGAGTGAAATTGCACGAACCAAAGACAAGATTGGAATGGTGCAACTTGATGCTATCGGTGTCCCAGATACATATAATTATGTTTTAGATAACCTCTTTACAATCCCTTTAAGTGAATATGTTGAACAATAAAGTTAGTCAGAATGCGAAATGTTTCCTTATAATCAACTCTCTTACCAATATGTTTCTGAACTAGGAAATGTATAGTTCCAAATCACATGAAATGTCCGTCCATCTATAGCCAGTACCGTAGAATTAAACATAGAAATAACAATATCTACGACCTCATCTTTATTTATATCCAACAACACTGGCGGTGTCATTACGCCTTTGAAGTTATCTGTATATATTCTCTTAGCCTGCAAAAATACAAAAAATGGATGAATGAATGAATATGTAAGAAACCTCAATCATACAGACCCTCTTGGTCTACGTATAAAAGGACCGCAATATTCTGGAGCACACTAACAGTATTGGTCGTCGATTTTTGTCGCTGACGAGAGTCTTGTCAAGAGTTTCACCTACCAAATGCGAGCACACGGGGAGACAAAAAAATTTCCCACAGCTGTCGTTTTCCGATATGTCCATAACCACGTGCAGATAATGCAAATGAAAGGAAATAAATCTTATTAGATAATGACGCTCTGTCATTAGTCAGGCGATAGATTAATCAAACCAAATATCAAACATGTTTGATATGATAAATCCTGTCGGGTACGCGATAATTTAGTCGTTGAAGCGCGGGCACACGCGAGATTTTACTCAAGATTCGAGTTGACGACAAAAATCAGCGACCAAGACTGTTCGTGTGCTTGCGCTCTCAACCCCTAATACTTAACATGTAAGTGATCATAATGTCATAATCTTCATGAATAACACTTGCCGGATCCAAAGTATGACAATCTAAGGGGTAAATGTCCAGGAAACCGAAAAATCCCAAATGTTACCTTTATTTGTGTGTGGACTCTCTTAACGGAATTGTCAGCGTCAGGCTCCTGGATTAGGGGTACAAATTCGGGACAAACTGACATTATAAAGGTACACCTATCGGGGCTGAGATTTCAAATGCGGCAGCGCTATGGAAGCGCCGTGGGTATAAGGGATTTATCTCCCACACATAGTTTCTATCCCTAATTGTACCTCCCATTTCATTCTTAGTTTTTATCCCATCCCCACTCCCTATCACCTAAAATGTCAAAATGCAACACATCAATCCTAATTATCAAAAAATATTCTAATATACCCCCACTGATCACGAGGTCTTATAAAAGTGCAAAAAAGTGGTTGGCGATGTACCTTATAAATCTGTCCTTTGATAAGATGATTTAGAGTGATTCTCCACAATGATCCACCATGTGTTTCCCCACCAGTACCAAACAATACTATCTGAGTACCATCTTTCTGACTATATATCTGTGGTGAATAGTACGATTCCTTTTTATCCGGTACTCCAATAGTCTTTATAACTTGACCTGTTTTACCACTGAATAACATGATGTTACCGGACAGTCGATATTTACTACCTGAATAATAAAACTAGGTGTCGTGGGTTCGAATCCTTCTCAAAGAAACGGTTTTAAATGTTTCCAAAAGCTGGCTTGCAATCCATATCACAAGACAGTACATAAAATATTAAGTCCAAAAACATAAAGTATCAGACGAAAACAGAAGATCGTAAAAATTTGCAATGTTTAGTATATCGAAGCGACTTGGCGACCTCTTTGGCGATTTCCAGATAAATTTGAATTTTGATCGTCTATTTGTGATTTGGGGGCATAAAAATCTAAATCAAACTTTCAAAATTCACCAATCTAACCAGATATGGGAATATGGAGTTTTATGTCCCATTTTTCTGTACCCGTTTGGGCAAATGTGGAAAGGCAATGCCTTGCTGTTTTGCCATTATAGCAGCATTATCTTACTTGATTTCCAACCATCAAGGAATCTTTAACATAAGGTGAGGTCCCGGCCCATTCTAATTTTCATCTTTGATCCTTGATAAACGCAGAGGAATGTTAAAAAAAACAGAAATATAGATTGTGGTCTCTACACAAAGACAATCAGCGAGCCATTAGAAGTGTATAAGAAAACTTATGAAAAGTTAATGATAAATGATGTAGACGTCTCTATTGTAATAACCTCATTAGTTATTGTATAATAATATAACTAACTGTAAAGCCGGGTGTCCACTGAGAGTTTTATAGCGAGATTTTGCTCCCCGAGACAAATTCGCTTGTTGGATTTTGTAATAGCCTTGGACCCTCTTACAGAATTCGGCTACATAAAATTTGTATAACCAATTTCCTTCAGTAACAGAAGACACAACTTTTAACGGATTTTAACAAAATTTTGCGGATGAGATCAAATTATTTCAAAAATATTGAAATGGTCAAAGAAACTGATAGACAGTCGCAACCAACTCTCGATAGACGAGAGCGATTTTCTCGAAGAGGATCTGCTATAAATGTCAGATATCGATAGAACTGTCGATAAAACTGTGGCGAGCGATGTCTGGTAGAGGGGCGTCTGCTAGAAAGTGTCGAAATATAAATTTCTGTTTGAGAGTGCTCTCAAGGAACACTTACTATTTTTGCGAGACTTATTGGATTTTGTAATAGCCTTGAACCCTCTTACAGAATTCGGCTACATGAAATTTGTATAACCAATTTCCTTCAGTAACAGAAGACACAACTTTTAACAGATTTTAACAAAATTTTCCGGATGAGATCAAATTATTTAAAAAATATTGAAATTTTGGTATTTCTGTTTCGTCTTTCCAATAATTATTGTAACAGCCGTGGCAAGACGATTTTGTACTTGACAACAACATTTTCCCATCATAAGTTGGCAAGCAATTTTGACGTGCAAGTCGCATTCCATTCTAGAGAGAAGCTCGAGAATGTAATTTGCCTGTGAAGTGGAAATGAAATGTAGTCTCAAATAGAGGGGACACTGACAGATCTCTCGCTAGTGACTCACAAAGATTCACCGAAAAAATCTCAAGGCTTTAAGACAGATTAGCAGTGAAAATTTTAAATTGCGCTTTAATGAAGACATCGTTAACGAAGTGACATCACATGCCGTGATATGTCCGACGCAATAAAAGAGTCAAGTATTTAATCCATTAAATGTAGAACCAATTTACGCTTTCTATATACGGAACATCTATCATCCAGTTAGTATCTGGGAGCCGCACGGCCGCTACAGGCCGAGATAATACCCTTCTTTCAAACCGGTTTCCCCCTTGGCAGTGATGTAGGTAAGAGGTGCTGACATGGAAAAATCGTCCAGTCGTTCGGATGGAACAATAAACCGAGAGCCCATATGTTACAGGCTGTGTACGTAGAAGATTCCTAGACAGCTTGATATCGCAAAAAGAGCAGGCTAATGCCGCTGTACTGGCAAAATTTACCTCATTCCATACTGCATGACGCTGCCCTGTCTTCATTAGCCCAATCACGTGCGGGACGTAAAACTCCATTCATTTCATTTTATTTTTTTCACAGTTATTATCTGAGCAAGTTTGTTGGTGTATCGAATTTGCCCGTTTCATTACAGTGAATTTGGTGAAAGCCAATAAAGCTTCAAAACAGTACTGGTAATCTTAGAATGACTTTGAGTGATAAATATATATATATGAGATTTGTTTTGAATTGATTTAAGCAATCAAAGGGTGTCATCTAAAACCCGTTTCTGGATAAAATGCGGAATTGTGGGATAGCGATATCCAAAGAGGATGATGTCGTATTCCCTTCGTGGGATTCACTATCCCACAATTCCTTATTTTATCAAGAGAGGATTCTACATGACGCGCTTTGATTGGTTAAAAATGCTACTTATGGGACAGACTTTTGTAGAAAACTTCTTAGATTACAATAGAGACTAAAAATATCAAAAAACGAAAAAAGATATACGAAATTGTAATTTAATATAATTAGATTGAACTCCGACAAACCTAGTCATACCAATATCGGCAATAACGTACCTGGATCTTGAAGTGGGTCTCCGCCATGTATCTGAAGTATATCGGAAACCTTATCACCATCTATATCGGCTATAAACTGGGGAGTGTAGAAATTCATCAAATCAGTTTTACCATATCTCCATAAAACATCTCCATCCTTACCACTTATAGCATCAAATGTCTGGAATTAAAGTGCAAATACAGACCCGTTCTTAAAAAAGAACCAAAGTAATAACGATCCGAACCGCAAAACGAAACTCGAAATCTAAAATATGTTCGGCAATACATTTCAATGACGTAATACGTATATTTCTCTTGTTGTTTTGGGAAAAATTTAAACGTGTGGAGTTTTATCGTCAATTTCTTATCTATGTGGGCACCAGGGGTGGCGTTATTCCTACCTAGTGTATTATAAAAAATCTATAGTCCACATAGCTAATATTGTTTTATTGGAATTCGTTATTTACTTACCCCAGCTCGGCCACCAGCTAGACAATCCAGCACACCATCTTCATTCAAGTCCACATTACAATTCAGACCAAACAGTTCGTGTTTACTGAACTGCTTCCAGAGAACTTTACCAGTTTTACCTTCTAGAGCCATCACCCCACCGTAACATGGTGACTGGCCATGGAAATAGATATCACAGACCACTTCCGGTATGTCATAACCATCAGCTCCTGAAACAATACAATTAAGACGCTACTTTCATTTTACTTTGTTCGCCAAACGGAGTTGTTTGTTTGTTTCTTTCTTTCTTAACCAGGTGCTTTGTTCGCGCCCGAACGTCATGTGTTTCCGGTTTAGAAGAGAAGATGTCTCTTACATGGTGGTCAACTAAGTTCGTGATTAGATCTGGTAACCTGTTCAGTTGCGTGGTTAAATACACAAATCTGAAACCCATGTAGGTCTACAGTGGAGCCCCGTTTATCCGCACATTTCAGTACCTAGTAAAATCGTTCTGTTGATCAAAGATCCGAAAACAGATTGATACACGAGCCCTTTCCATTTTATGTGCTATTTGTGAGGTGGTATGGGATGAGGTATTCAGATCGAAAATCAAAATCGAAATACTTATAGAAATTTATTTCTGCAAATCGAGAAACTATATTTAGAAAATTGTTAGTCACATTCTCTTCAGAAACTCAAAATGAATCAAACCAGCGAGAAACATATGGAATTTGTTTGTTATTTCATAGGGATTAAATTTTCAGATTTAATAGGCTTTATATCAGCTGTTTTTAAAAAGAGAATATCAGGTTTTGAATCGACTTACCTGTTCCAAAACCCATAATAACGTCAAGAACGCCATCTTTGTTAATGTCCACTAATCTAAATGCTGATTCAGTTAGGAATTTGGGAATCCCGACAACCCACACGTCTTCAACTTCGATCTTGTCACAACCCACAATATCATCACCATTGTTTTTAATAGACAACTTCGGATCACCACCTGACGTCACTTCCTGAGTATGTTTATGCTTATTCACTGAATACAAAATGGCGGACATAAGGCCTCCTAAAACACTGACAAATATCACAAAATACAAAACTGGTTTACAAATAAGTATCAATTTACAATCAGGATGTTTGCTTTTCACTCGAGTTCTTTGTCGTGGATGCATCAGTGGTTTTGTTGCAGACGAGATTTCCAGCGTAGGATCTTCTACAAACACGTCATCGTCGTCGGAATAGCCATCTTCATTTTCTTCGGCAATGTAATCGTCGTGCACATACCCATTTCTCTGATGGCGATTCTTTTTGAAGATTACTCGCGACTCCGATTTATCTCTGCTTTTAAACATTTTGGTACCTCGTTTTTTTAGTCACGCCTGGAAAAAAGAGAAAATAACTTAGTTAACATAATATTTTTTTCAAACTAATCACCAATTTACAAGGTAATGACACGTGCTCAATTATTTTTCTGCAACACTTAAAGTTAATCGATCAAGATAAGTAAATTGGACACAGGATAGTGTTGCTAAGATGGAATATCGGGCCTACACAATAAGTGAAAAACACTCGTTTGAAGCCAAGAGACATTGCGACCTATCGAGACAAAACAAAAAAATTTAAATATTTATTCTACTTTCACTGCCAAAATCTAGTTAGATGCATTTTCCACCTTCCTGGATTAGAAATGTTTTAAGGGGGAGGCCCAAAGACCAGAGGAGAAAAATTTTGTGACCCCTGTCCGGCCCCCTCACCTAATATTTCCTAGTAACGCTACTGGTAGGAGAGGGGTTTGCGGTTCAACTAATTCCTGTGGTAGTTGAGCTGGTGCCTTGAAGTAATCTAACACTGTCATTGCTAAAGCTGAGTTTGTAGGAGAAGACCAATTCCACTGCCTGGGCAATGTTTCCACCATTTAACACTGCCTGTTATTGTCTGACTTTAACAGTCAAAAATGAAGTAGAAAAGTCTGACGTAAAACTGATATTGTTTTAAATTTAGAACTAGCAGGCCCGTAGCCAGACTTGATTGTTCGGAGGGGCAAGTAAGTTTTCTGGTGGCACAATGGGATATAATGTTTAGCTGCAGAACTGGAATTGGTCGGTTGTCAGAATTTTTTCGAGGGGAGGAGGGGGGTGCATTGCTACAAGATGATTAATTAAATGAAGTAGAGCTGTCGGGTTGCAACTGTCAGTCAGCGGGAATGTGAATGGATATTTGTAGAATTTGCAGGAATATCTTCTAGATAACATTATATCGATTTGTTTATCAACTGAAATAAGAGAAATAAACAATGATATCCTACCTTATAGTGACGCATAAACAAACAGCATCGAACACTACAGCGCCTAGTATGGTGTATTCGATTCTACATGCTCCTCAGGTTAATAGCTGCTTTAATATTGTAGAACATCTGTTCACAGAATCGGGATGTTATAGCGTTACATCTGATGCTAAGATTAGTCATTCATGCAGAATCTGTGTATGACGTCATGCAGTCATCTCGCAGTCAACCATCCATTTTCTTTAATTTTTGCCAAAAATATATCGCCAATTTTATATAAAATTCCAATGAGTATTATTCCATAAATCCGACAATCTGTGCCTTATAAGGAAAAATTATTTGATAATTCTGATAAGTAAACAATGGCACCAAGGAATCGGTAATATATTCCGTGTGAGGAAAATCCAGGCAGTTTATCGATTTTTCTATTTCTGTACTACTATAATCCGTGGTTGCTATTGACATTAAAGACACGAGACCAAGGACGGTGCCATTGTCGTCTGCTTGAGCCCAGAGCGATACGTGATTAGAAAGAAAGAAATGTCGTCTGCGTTTTATTTCCCTTTTTACATTAAGACAAAATTAACATTGGATTCAATCTTGGTTAAATATTTTGACTCCATTTAAAAAGCAGTTTTCCATAAAAGACTTTATCTAGTCTTTAAAGTCTGTCATTAAAAATTAAAGGATATGATTTTCGTAGGTCGAAAATTTTGTGTGCTCAAATTTATGAAAACTATACACTTGACCTTTTGGACACAGCTTACTGTGACGAATGAATGAATCGCGAATTATATTGTATTGTTTTAAAGGGATCGTAAAAAGGTTTTCCAAAAAGCATGGCCTTGCGACTTGATAGCCATTATCCGCCATTATCATGTTATTTAATGCTATTAAATCGTGTTAAACATGGTCCATATTTAAAACATTATGTTGAATAAACCATCCAAATTTATCATTGGCAATATCGATCTGAATTTTACAACTGGAACATTTAAAATTGTTACCGAATTTTTATGAATTGCATAATCAAAACCTAAGTTGGTTAGTCAGAACCAAAATTTGCCGTGGCTTATCAAAATTTTCTATCTAAATTGAACCCTGATCATAACAAATGGCCTCTATTCCAGTAAGTGTTTTATGACGCCACTAATCGCAAAAGGTGCTTTATCACATGGGAACCTCTCGATTAGTGACGTCATAAAATGCCTAGTTTTAGTGGAATTACAGGAACTACAGACGTCTGAAAATTGAAATGGTGCAAATTACTGCTATTATATCAGTGTCCCCGATAAGCATAAAAGATATTTGAGATTGCCCGAATTTCTAACCTAGTTATGACATTTTTGCCCGAAAAATTTGCTTACGGGGCTGCGAGTGACTCTGCCACTGGCTCAGGGCCATTGTTTGTTATTATTACAAGCGCTCTACATAGTCGGTTTGTTTCTGAGTTCGAGTGTCCTAGTATAATAGATAGCGTCATTTTACATAGTTTTGCAGTAAACGAAGTGAGGCTACATTGGCAAGTGAAGTGTGAGACACAATCGACACAATCTTGGCGATAAGTCTAATACTAAGTAGACACTGTCTTAACGGTAAGTTCAATACTACGTCGACACTGTCTTGACATCAAGTTTAATACTAAGTCGACACTGTCTTGACGATAAGTCTAATACTAAGTCGACACTGTCTTGACGATAAGTCTAATACTAAATAGACACTGTCTTGACGGTAAGTCCAATACTAAGTCGACACAGTCTTGACGTTAAGTCTAGTACTAAGTCGACACTGTTTTGACAGTAAGTCCAATACTAAGTCGACACAATCTTGGCGATAAGTCTAATACTAAGTAGACACTGTCTTGACGTTAAGTCTAGTACTAAGTCGACTTTGTTTTGACAGTAAGTTTAATACTAAGTCGACACTGCCTTGACGGTAAGTCTAATACCGAGTCGACACTGTATTGACAGTAAGTCCAATACTAAGTCGACACAGTCTTGAAAGTAAGTATAATACTAAGTCGACATTGTCTTGACGGTAAGTCTAATACTGAGTCGACACTGTCTTGACGGTAAGTCTAATACTAAGTCGACACTGTCTTGGTGGTAAGTCTAATACTAAGTCAACACTGTCTTGGTGGTAAGTCTAATACTAAGTTGACACTGTCTTGACGTTAAGTCTAATACTAAGTCGACACAGTCATGACAGTAAGTCCAATATTAAGTCGACACAGTCTTGACAGTAAGTCCAATACTACGTCGACACTGTCTTGACAGTAAGTATAATACTAAGTCGACACTGTCTTGACGGTAAGTTAAATACTAAGTCGACACAGTCTTGACGTTAAGTCTAGTACTAAGTCGACTTTGTTTTGACAGTAAGTTTAAAACTAAGTCGACACTGTCTTGACGGTAAGTTCAATACTAAGTCGACACTGTCTTGACGTTAAGTCTAATACTAAGTCGACTTTGTTTTGACAGTAAGTTTAATACTAAGTCTACACTGTTTTGGCGATAAGTCTAATACTAAGTCGACACTGTCTTGACAGTTAGTCTAATACTAAGTCGACACAGTCTTGACGGTAAGTCTAATACTAAGTCGACACTGTCTTGACGGTAAGTCTAATACTAAGTCGACACTGCCTTGACGGTAAATCTAATACTAAGTCGACACTGTCTTGACAGTAAGTCTAATACTAAGTCGACACTGTCTTGGCGGTAAGTCCAATACTAAGTAGACACTGGCTTGACGGTAAGTCTAATACTAAGCCTACACTGTTTGGCGATAAGTCTAATACTAAGTCGACATTGTCTTGACGGTAAGTCTAATACTTAGTCGACACTGTGTTGACAGTAAGTCCAATAATATAGTAATGTACCGATAAATTGCAGAACGCAAAAAAAGAGGAGACGGTTCGACAATTTACTCAGTGGAAACACGAAAGCTAGCTTAAAGTTGTCTTTTTCCATCATTGGAAACACAGTTAATGTGTTCAATAACAAACATTGTTATCGTCTTCACTTTGACATATTCAATACATTAGATTTCGTATGCTGAGACTGTGTGTGCATGATTAATTTATGTAATAAACTACGACAAATACAAAAGAGAGATTGAAATGAATCAAAATCGGCATTAATAAATGAACATAGAATTGTGTCTAACATCTTTCTTCTCTGAATATATAAACAGCTTCTATTATGTTTGAGAAATTATAAAAAAGGGTTCTTTTGTTACAAAATGGAAATATTATGCAAGGGGTCCACGAGCCTGTTTCTTCATAAGCGAACGTGGCGGTGTACATCAGTCGGTAGCCTCTATCGTCTAATACCACTTTGACTATACACAGCTGCTATGAAAGAATACTACCTCTTCGAAGAAAAGGAGAAGTCCGGGTGTCAGAGACTAGCCAGTGAGCTGAATTTTCTGTCCGATTGGTTTCAATATATCGATCGCTTGAAAAAATAATAGGCCAAAAATATTAAACAATTTTTTAATGCAGTCGATTCATAAGGGTGTATAAAATCGTCGTTCACGTCAACGGGCACACGGGCGAATTTTTCAGCGATTTTAAAATTCACTATTATCAAGCGCAAAAATACGCTTGTGTGACCCTTGCATTACGTGATACGAGTTTATGGTATATCATGGAGTTTTTAGCTTGGAATCTAAAGCACGAAATTGCCATATTCATGTGATGATTGAAATGTAAATTGTTGAAATTTTGTGTACAATAAAGATTTGGATAAGTATACCATATAAACTGATGATGAC